TATCTTATCCTATAGCCTCATATCTTGCCACTAAAATGAATCAACTAATTATGTTTCTCTAATATCCTTCAACAATCCACTCGTTACTCAAGTCATACCTAGTTTTACACTACTAGGAGTAATCTCACAAGGGAAACTCAAATCCTTAATTTGAGTCCAAAGATTCATCTCTCTAATCATAAGGGAAGATAAATATAAAGGTTTCCTACTCAAAACATCGATCACCACAATGGCTTTGGCCAAATAACAAATAAGATCAAAATCTTATTCCTTAAGAAATTCCAACTATCTCTTTTGTCTCATATTCAACTCCTTTGGTCAAAAGATATTTAAGGCTCTTATGATCACTAAATACCTCAAGCTTAGAATCATATAGGTAGTGTCTCCAAATCTTAGTGTAAATATTACAACTGCTAACTTAAGGTCATGGGTAAGGTAATTCCTTTCATGGATTTTCAATTGCCTAGAAACATAAGCTAATACATTTCCTTCTTGCATCAACAATCCACCCAGACCCATCTTAGAAGCACAACTATATACCACAAAAGGCTTACTAAAATTCGCTAGTATTAACACTAGTCAATCTTTCCTTAAGAGTTTGGAAACTACTCTCACATTTGTTATCCCATACAAAGGCAACTCTTTCCTAGTCAATCCAGTCAAAGGTAATAGTAAGCGACCTAGAGAAGTAAGCAACGAAATGCTTTGGGGAGTTGAAAATAAGCATAGGTCCAGGAATTCCCGATATAGATTAACCTTTCAAACTACTACTGAATCCATGGGTAGGAAAGAGACAACCTGGTGAATTGAAACATCTTAGTAGCCAGAGGAAAAGAAAGCAAAAGTGATTCCCATAGTAGCGGCGAGTGAAATGCGAGCAGCCTAAACCGTGAACTGCTATCTTAAAAATTTACTCAATAAAGCTCCTATAATAATAAGCTAATCCAAGAAAACTCATAATCTCACTAACTGATCTTGGTATCTCCCACTTAAGTAGAACTGCTACCTTAGATAAATTTACATTATACCTCCACTAAAAATTACAGGACCTAGAAAAATCACTTCATACAATCAAAATCATACTTAGATAATTTAGCCTAAATCTGTCTTGGATATAACCTCACTCTCAACTCCAATATGATGATATCACACCTCGAGGTCAACCTTACTAAACACATAAACATCCACTAATTAAGCCATAAGGTCCTCATATCAACATACATGTATATCAAATCATATTGGAATACCTATTTAAACTTTCATATATATCCTTCCCAAGCATATATATGAATCTATCACTATTTTACACCATATAGCATGTGCATGAACTAACTGTACCACATAACATCATACAACCTTGAATAACCTTTCAATCCACATGACAACATCTCAGAACATCATAACAAAATCATTTTTATCCTTGCATTGCCTAATAACTCAAAAACATCATGATAGCATACATATCCCTTCAATAACTATCAAAGAAAATGATACATAGAGAATTATACTCATCCAAATGATCTCAAACCTATCACAAAAGAAAACTAAGAGAATAAGCTACAACTCTTATGAAGACATGAGATTCTATAAAGATCATCTTCTTAGCTAAATATTCAAAAACCACAACAGATATATTCAACACTTATAGCTAGACCTTTGATCACCCAAGTAACTATAATTGGAGTTCTAGACCTCCATTTTTCCTAATTCCAATTCCACTTTGCTGAAGACTAAATCTAATTATGTCCATACAGTATTCATACTGGCACAACAAAACTGCAGCGAAAACATCTCCTACACCAGACAACAATAGTGTATCAACATCTAAGGCCACAAAAATACCTCAACCCTTCCAAATTCACTCTTTTCACTTCAAACTCATATACAAGCTTCCTACTACAATCCTAAACCAAAATGACTCACATATTTAGCACAAATGACTTAGAAATCGAAATAAAATCCTGAACCATAAAAAGTCAACATGCAAGAATCAAACTCCAGAAATCATCAACACTTCAATCTCTCCTTAAGAATACCAAAACTCCAATTCTCAACATACAACCTCCTTGGATTCAATCGCTACAACTATAGGTTTCAGAAACTCCACCAATCGTAAACTCTTAATACACTCAACAAATCAATGTCTCACCCACATTCAAGGTTCTAATAGTTCTAGTTGGTTAGCACAAGGCTTCGTCCACTACTACTGGCACATATGCTTGCAACACGAGCGATACCACTCAACCACTACTTCTTACATAAGCAAGAAGTATCAAAACAAATAAGCAATCATGAATAGCATCAACTAAGCTATATCATGCCTTTCAGCCAAATTCTGAGAAAATAATACACAAGTAAGCACAACACTAACAACACAAGAGAAACATCATCATCATTATCATTATCCACATCATAAAGCAAAACATTGTTAGAGTACACACAATTAAATAACAACAAACATAATCAATCATCATACTAGCATATCAATAAGTTGCATAATCAATTCATTCCATCATTCATCTACCAAACAAGCATAGTACACTCATAACTCACGGCCAATTGGATCGACCTGCTCTGATACCACTAAATGTGACACCCTTACTACCCTAACATATATATTGTAATATATATATATATATATATATATATATATATATATATATATTGTAAAACTGTAATAAACTAGAGAATAAAATTTTCAACATTGATAAAAGGGTTCACATAAAACCTCCAATTGTTGTTCCTCAATATTCAAGATAATTGAAACTTGAAAAATAAAACATAAGAGGTTACAAAATATTTTCAAAATAATAAATGCAACACCAAATCCATATACAAATCCATGTCCTAGAAATCTTCTGCCTCGATGTCATAATATTAGAGCATACCCATAATCCAACTGTTGGCATTTTAGGTACCACTCAAAGCCAAATCTTCCTCACCTAAAACATCCATAAATTGTACTGTGAGAAAAGAAAACATCTATATGTAAAGTACACAAGGAAAAACACAACATAATCTCATCATAACTCATTACTTAATGAGATATTCACTTACATCATAATTCACAATCATACCAATCCATCACAAATCTTGCGATTATCACTATGCCATGGTTGCGCCTCCCTTGACATACGTGTTAATTGTCTCCCAATGTGAGGAACCACAATCACATTACATTCATAATCAACACAAATCTTACAATTAACACTATGCCAAGGCCACGCCAAAACTGACAGAAGTGATATGGGTTAATTGCCTCACTCATCCCACACCATGCTAGGGGCACGCCCTCCTTATAGCATCACTTACCCAGGGGCCGTCTCATCCCTGGTCATTAGTGTGAGGAACCACAATCACATCACAATTCACACAAATCTTGTAATTAACCCTTTGTCAAGGTCACGTCACATCTGACATAAGTGATACGTGTTAATTGCCTCACTCATCCCACACCATGCCAGGGGCACGCCCTCCCTATAGCATCACTTACCCAAGGGTCGTCTCATCCCTGGTCATTAGTGTGAGGAACCACAATCATATCACATCAACATCTCATTTCATGTCAACATACTCACATCATAATTAATTGAACAATTAAGTCCTAACATACCATTCGTCACATCATGTTATCAATTCAATATTAAAATATTAGATATAATGTATACATTTGTACGAAGGCAGCACACCACATTCCATGTCTAGATCATCAATTTTACCAAATAATGTAACAATAATATTCATAAATTAATTTGAAACCCAATTAATTCACCAATTTAGTACAATATTAAATCAAATTGTAAAACTCCCAATTTTTCCAAAATCTAACTCACAGACACTTTTCTACAATTTTGTTCTCTCTCCCAGATCATCATTTTTACAAATTAAATATATATTTCTAATCCTCTATACATACATAATCTAATGGGATCATCAATTCCTCAAATAGAAATAATTATAAAATTATCCATAATTCTAAGGGACTCTTTCTCTACCCAATTCCCTCATGTGACTCTGCATAGAAAATTTCTCAAACATAAATAATTCTAAAATTACCCATAATTCTAAGGGACTCTTTCTCTACCCAATTCCCTCATCATGTGACTCTGCATATGCGAATAATTCCCTTTTTCCCCGTACCTCGATAAGTAGTAGTTGAAACTAAAATAGAGATCTCCTTGATCTCCTCCTCTGAGTGCCCCTCGATCTTCAAAAAGTGTAGAAGGAAAAGAAGAAAATGTAGAAGAAAGAAGTCAGAACTGAAAGAAGTCAGAACTGAAAGAAGTCAGAACTGAAAAGTGTGCTTTTTGAGAGTGCCAAAGCACTCTATTTATAGGTATCAGTAGTGGCCGGAACGACCCGTTTCAAATTTAGAACGACCCGTTCTGGACTCTTTGTCATGTGTAAAATTTCATATCTAGAACGGCCCGTTCTAAAACCAGAACGATCCATTCTAAAACTAGAACGACCCGTTCTGGGGTTGCAATTTAACCCACAACAGCCATTTCTGGAACGACCCGTTCTCATATTTGGAACGACCCGTTCCCAACTAGGGTTATAGGCCATTTTGGTAAATTAGAACGTCCCGTTCCAATTTGGGAACGTCCCGTTCCAATTTGGGAACGCCCCGTTCCAATTTGGGAACGCCCCGTTCCCGACTTGAGAATGCCCCGTTCCCAACTAAGATTTGTAGGCAATTTTAGTAGTTTGGAACCGCCCGTTCCAGTTTGGGAACATTCCGTTCTGGGCTACTATATCACCCTTATTGGGCTTTGGGTCTTCGTACAATCTGTGAAAATCGGGCTGTTACATTAAGAGTGGCTTAAACTCCAATGTTATAAATTCAATTTTTTGTAGTAATAAATTAGTTTTTTTTTAATTATTTTGGCAATTTATGTATTTTAATTAATACTACTTTGAGGAGGAGAAAACGACCACGTATCTCCCACAGCAGATGAAATATCTAAATAAAATTTTGTTGACTAAATCCACCTCGTGCAGCAACTTCCATGAATTTTCTCTCATTTACAATCCTCAAAGTGGAAAATATAGAGCATTATTTTTAAATTAACGGATCGATGTTGTTCTTAATCATTCACTTAATTAACTAATAGACATGATCAATTAGTGTCAAAAAGCAACAACACAAGCAAGCTGGTTTAAGAGTATAAATATGTAGCTAGATGCTTGAAGAGTATCAATAACCTACGCACCCTTTTCCATAGAAATTAAAAAGCGCTTTGTATGAATCAAAAGATGTCCCTTCCAGCTTCAACATTTGCTTCAACCCAACATGCAGTATCTGATGTCAAGCGACCTTGTGCAAGTTTTCCTCCTAACATATGGGGAGATACTTTCCTTCAATATGCTTCTGAATCTGTGGTATTATATTCATATTTACGCGTGTAGACATAATCTGTGTATTTCTTTCTTTTTCTCTTTATAGTGTTCCACTTCTCTCTTTTCAAACATGATAGAGATCAAATTGGGGGACGAAGTCCATAAATCAAGAAAACAGAAATTTTATGCTCAGCTAAGGATTTATATAATGTTGTTGTCATTTTTGCCAACATATTTGCTTCTTTCTTGTGTGTTTTTTTGTAACAGATTCAACTTTTCTGCTTCAAGCTTGGTCTAGCGGAAGGAAATGTGAAATTCCGATTAAATAACAAATTACTTGAGTTAATTTTAATATGGAAATTTTCTATTGACACTCACAACGCTCACCTTAAATCATTACTACATTTAATATCTTTAACAATATTTAGCTACTTATATTTATTAAAATGTTATTATAGATTATGTTTATAAGTTATTGTAATAATTTTTTTTCATAAAATGTCATTATAGATCAAGTGACATTTTTTTTATCTCAATATTATTATTTTTAATTATTTTTCAAAATTAAATTTCACATTGAATAAAATAATGATATATGAAAAATATATTTCTCAAATATTTAATTATTTCTTAAAATTAAAATCTCACATCAAGTAAAATAATAACACATAAAAGGTGTGTGTATATATATAAACTTAAGATAAATAACTTTTGATATGTGACATGGATTTATTGATGACTAACTTAAGATATCTTTTCTTGTAAAAATAATAAAAATTAAGATATCTTCAACCTTAAAAAACATGTAAATATGAACCATTAAATATAAGTGGTAGTACAATCTATATTAATATTAATTATCATTTTATAAAGTTTAAAAAATAAGAAATATTATTAAAATATTGCAAAATACTACTCTGGTAACATTTTTAAAAATTTTGTCATTAATATGTAAAATATTATTAAAAGTCTTTACTAAATACAGACTTTATCTTATAATTGATAATAATTATCACAAAAATATATTAGCAACACATGTACTCATAATATGACAATATTTTTTTAATGTCGCTAAAAACATACATTAGTTTATTTTAAATATGTGGAATCCATCATTTTCAAATTACTTTTTAGATTGATAACAATTTTTATCCATGTTTTTATATTATTATTAAGTGCTTATTTTAAATAATAAAATAAAAAATGCTTTAATGCATATTATTTTATTATTTTTTAATATTATTTATTATTTTCAAAAATGAAAATATATTATTGTTTTGAAGTACAAATAAAATATTTTTCTATAAAATTAAAAAATGTAAAAATTTAATAATACGCTTTAGTTTATGCATTTATCTAAATAAACTAAATTTTTAGTCTTTAACAAGGGACTAAAACCCACACCACTTTTTAATAAATATAAAGACTAAAAAGGCACTATGGAGGAATGGTAAAAAATATAAGGGGTTGAATAATGTGTATCAAAAAATCATTCTTTTTTTTGTAGTGAAGTAATAATACTAGTCAAATAAAGTGCGAAGAGAAGTCAGATGAAATATTGAATATTTTTATGCTGGTTCATTTCAACCATCAAGACTACATCTAATTCTTAATCTAAGATTGAGTTCTACTATCTTCCAACATAGATACAAATATTTTTTTTAAAAAGTCACTTCTGGCTCAATCCTAAGTATTTTTTTACTTGTCTCTCTAAGTAATTATCCAAGTATATTTTTTTCCATAACAACCCTTTCTCAACTTAACAATCGAGTACTCTTTTATAGACAAGTTCTTCTAAGCTCAACCTTACAACAATGCTTTTTAGTTGCTCATTCTTTTTGAACTTCAAATCTTCTTATATAGTAGCTTTAGAAAGATGATCGTTGCAACACTTTGAGTCTATCTCACAAGTTTGCTTCATATGTCTTCAACATCTTTCCTTGTAATGAGAAGTAACCATTGACTCATTTAATACAAACATTAACTACATTCACCAAATGGTACCTCTTATCTGATCAAGAAAACTACTTATTAACTTTCCATATCAAGTAGAGTTTGTAGAAGCAATGCTAGCACAATGCATCAACAACATTGCTTTTATCTAGTTTTCTTTGTGATTTTTGGGATTTTCATCCTTGGTTTTGACAAAAAGTATGATCTTGTTCTCTTTAATAGATGATCTACATCTTACACTTCGTTTAATAATCATTTTCGAAGACATTTTCTCTTGTAAAAATGTTTCATTTGTTATTATTAAAATTCCAAATCTTGAGGGATCGAAGATTATCTTTTAACTTAACAATCTTCCCTTTTTTGATGATGACAAACACAAGTTTTTGAATTTTTGAACTGTTTGTTTTTCTGTCTTAGAAAATAAATTTTTTGGTAAGATGAAATGATTTTTCAATTTTCAGTAAAGACTTTCGACTTTTTGAAATGTTTTTATCTTTCAAAAGATATTTTTCTTAAAAGGCATTTTGACTTTTAACTTTTGAAATGTTTTTCAATTTTGCATAGAATATTTTTCCTAACTAGTGCAAAAGCAAATTGGGATCATTTTATCAAAGCGTTGTAAGGCACACATCTAAGATGTTGTAAGATCACTCAAGCAAATTGATTTTTACGGATAATAAAACAAAAACAAGAGTGAAATTCAATTTTTATTCATGGAGCATGTTAGACTAGGTTTGCATTTAGATCATATATATGAGTTCTAGTCTTAGCATCTCAGAGATTTTTAGAGCTAAAGCAAAACATATAGAAAGGATTTTATATATGACAGAACATGCTTGACTTATCTCTTTCTTATTATGTATATTAGATCATACGAGTAATATAACATGTATATATAACTTAGGTGCTATATGTAATGCATAGGAGACTCCCTCTGAAAACATGCATGATCTGAATAATATAAAACAGATAATATGTTTAATGTAAGACTTTAAATATCACTCCTCTTAATAAAATAGAGCAAAGAAATTGTAACATTATTTAGAAATTTTAAAAATTTGAAATATAAAAAAAATGTAATCACTCCCCCTTTTGGCACCAATAAAAGCTAGGCCAAGTCTAGTTATCCTCCTCGTCAAAGCTAAGATCAATGTTAAGGCGAGATAATAACTTATTGAATTTGTTTTCATAATGTGTTTGCCTTCTCTATAACAAATTTTTTATTTACAAGATGACTTTCTAGTTCGATTTGTTAAGGAATTAAATATTTAAATGAATTTCGTCGTTAGTCTAAATAAATGATGAATATTTAATGTAAATGAGACAAATTGTATGTTTCGTTTGATTCACATTATCTTATAGACGATTTTCATCTTACTCTTCATTTGATAATCATTTTTTAAGACATTTTCTTTTATAAAAACATTTCATTTGTTAACATTAAAATTTCAAATCTTGAGAGATCCAAGATTGTCTCTGATTTAACACATCAAATTTTTATAGAGACTAAAATCAATATTCTAAAATATTTTGAATGTTTAAAAATATATATTATTTGATTTTTTATCTAACAACTTAATCCATTGAGCTAGCTTGAGACAACAAGGGTTAAGCAATTTTGTAGAAACAACAAAGGAAGTTAACATGTATTGTCATACAATTTTTTTTACTTTAGTTACCAATTAATATAAATTCAATAACTTTTATTTGATGCTCATTGAATGAAGCTATATTTGCAATGCCAGGGAGTAAGTTACAATGCGAAGCAGCAAGCTCAAAACCTAAAAGAAGAGGTGAAAATGATGTTTCAATCATTAAATCAAAGCATCATGCAAAAATTAAACTTCATTGACTCTATCCAACGTTTCGGCATATCCTACCATTTCCAAAAGGAAATTAACCAAGCATTGGAACAAATTCACAACACTTGTACCAAAAATAACAACATCATCATTGAAGATGAAAATCACCATTTTCTTGCTCTACTCTTTCGTTTGCTTAGGCAACAAGGATATCAAATTTCATCAAGTAAGCATAGTTTGTCATTGATATTTATATAAGTAAAAAAGAAAAACTATATATCAATCAGTTTATATGTCAAAACTCAAAATCCACTAAACATCTATTATTTCATATTCAATTAATTGAGCAGATGTATTCAACAAATTCAAAAATAAGCAAGGAAACTTCAATAAAACTCTTGCCAATGATATTCAAGGATTATGTAGTTTGTATGAAGCTGCACAACTAAGAACTCATGGAGATGATATACTTGAAGAAGCATTTGACTTCTCAAATGGTCAACTTATGTCCTTGGCCAACCAACTAAGTCGATCGCTTGTTGCACAAATTAATCACTGCTTAAGGAAACCTTTTAACAAGAGTGTACTTAGGTTTGAGACACGGTATCACATGAGTCTCTATGAAAAAGATCCTTCTCATAGGGAAACTTTAATAACCTTTGCAAATGTAGATTTCCATATTCTTCAAAAAATGTATCTAAAAGAAATTGGCATGATTACCAAGTAAGTCCCTTACCCTTAATTTCTTTTTTCATATTGAAATATGTCATTGTTCTAAAAATTAGAAATAAAGATGGAATTTATTTAAATATTTAAGGTGTTATGTATTTATTTCTTTTCATAGGTGGTGGAAAAAATCAAACTTGGTGAAAAAGGTCCCCTATGCAAGAGATAGGTTGGTTGAGAGCTTTGTTTGGTCGTTGGCCTTTTCCGATATTCCTGAATACAGTAAAGCAAGAATGTTTCAGGGGAAATTAATGGCTGTAGTAACTATTCTAGATGATACTTATGATGCTTATGGCACTTTCCAAGAACTTGAAATATTCACAGAAGCAATTCAAAGGTTAATATGATGGAAAAACACTTTAAAATAACATGATCGAGTTTTAGCTAATGATCTCATAGTATACATTAAAGTATTTTGTCCTTTTTTCTTAATTTTAGATGGGATATTACTGCCATTGGATCTCTTCCACAATGCATGAAAGCAGTATTTGATGCAATTATTGAGCTGTGTGAAGAAATGGAATTGGAAACAACTGAGAGTGGAAAATCAAGCTTTATGGTTCCACGTTTTAAACAAGCTGTATGACTATTTTAATTTCTTTTATTTTTTATTGGTACTTATTTACAAGATTGATTCAATTTATCTTATGGGTATATTGGTTATTTTACATGCAGGTTAGTAAATTAGTAAAAGGCTACATGATTGAAGCAAAATGGTGCCATAAAGGTCTTATTCCAACATATGAAGAGTATAAAGTTAATGGTGTCTTAACTTCTATTTTTACTCTTTTGATGTCATCATTTATTGGCCTGGGAGAATATGGAACAGAAGAAGTCCTTGATTGGATTTTTAGTGATCCAAATATCATTAATGCTGTATCACTTATTGGAAGACTCTTAAATGACACATCATCACACAAGGTACCATTTCATTTCATTTCATTCTAAGTGTTTGGCTTAGTTAAAAATGTTGGTGATTATTAGATTTGTTATTGAGTTTTTGAAATTTTGATCGATAGTTTGAGCAAAGACGAGATCATGTTGCCTCATCTGTTGAATGTTGCATGAAGCAATATGACATTTCATATAGAGAGGCCTATAACTTCATTCGCAAGGATGTTGAAGAATATTGGAAGGTTATTAATGAAGAGTGTCTCAGGTCAAATGATATCCCAAAATCTGTACTGGATTGTGTAGTTAATTATGCACGTGTTTCTGAGGTTTGTTATGAAAACCACCAAGATAACTTCACAAATGGAGGATTAAAGGATTATGTCTCTTCATTACTTTTGGATCCGATGTGCATCGATCAACAACAATAAGAGAAGTCATTTCACATATAAATGACATTATGCTTATATCCTGTAATATCTTATGATGTATACCAGAATGTTGCATACTATCAAGCATAACTAAATATGAAAGAAGAGTGAATTGTTGGTATAAAAGTTGATTCATTCTACGTGAAATGTTGAATGTGCCAGTTGAGAGAAATGTTGTTTGCACATTGTTATTTGCTCAATAATAATATGTCATGTCACTTGCTTATTAATAATGTTTAACTACATTAATTTGTACTTGTTTAATTTTTATCAATGTTATAATTTGTTGTTCAGTTCTTAATATTTCATTGATCTATCTCATCACAGGTCAGAAAATTGCTCACTCCAAGTTTCCATGGCAAAGCCACAACCACCGTATTGAATACTTGAACCATGTGAAAACTCAATTTTATCTAGATATAATATAAAAAATAGCAGAAAAATATAAAATATTAAAAAAAGATATTAAAAATTGATAATAAAATCACATCAATAACTATAACAAATTTTATTTTATTTTTATTTATTATATAGTCTTTAATTTTATATCTTTTAAATATTTTCCTTTTTTTATATCAATTAAGCAGAACAAATTTAAGCAATTAACATTTTCTTGTTTTATTGGGTTGTTTTAAACCCATTTTAGACTAAAACGTCTAGAAGAAAGGTGAGATAGAAAAATACAAAAAAAAGACTAAATTAGAAAAAAGAAAAAAATCAATTTTACTGTGTGTTTGGAACAATATCCCTATAATTATTTATGAATTATATATTTAGAAATATCTTTTTATATAAATTTTAAATATAATTTATATATTCAAACATAATATTTATTTGTATATATAATTTATTATAAATTTTAACTATATATGATAAATATTTAGTCTATACATTGTATAAATTAAAATACTAGTATAAATTTATCTTTGTGCAAAAATGTATTATGTAACGACCCGTCATGGTCTCTACACTTAGTGGAATCGCACTACTGCTAGTGAAACTAAGAGAAATATTAAGTTAAATAACTCATAAATACATGTACAAATAAAAAAATGAAAATAACTATTTCTAGTTATAAAATAGAACTCCATATATGTACAGTCATCCAAAAAATAATATTTCCTAGTGCTGGTCAAGCATAGACAAAACCGTTACACAAAATGGTAACTCTAACTCAAGGATCAAAACTTCCCGTCTCGCAGCAGACACCTTAACTCCAAGCTAGCCTTGACCTGCTCCCATACCAAGTATGATCATCGCAGTTCCACCACATGAAAACAGAAATGTAAGATAGAGTTCAAAATCAACCATACAAGTACAGACAATAGTCTATACCACACAATCATCCAACTATCAATCATGAAGCCAAACACCACACACTTCATCATATTAACAATCATGCAATAAATGCATCTCATGACAGATATTAATGCATATCAATCATCATCACAAACGACCATACAATTCAACATAAAAACCCAACTCATTCATACAACTTAGAAGCAACTTTAATACAACAACAACAACAACAATATACAACTTAATATTTAATATGTCGTCACGCATGTACAACTGGGAGATCTCCAACAACTGAGGTTGCACTACAAGAAAAATGTTGATTTCCGATGGAAATTTCCGACGGAAATAGGTAAATTTCTGACGGATTTTTCATTTTCCGACGGATTTCTGACGGATTTTAATCCGTCGGAAAAAGTGGCGTCGAAAAAAAAAATCCGTCGGAAATAGTTTTTCCGACGAAAATTTTCGACAGAATTTTCTGTCGGAAAATTCTGTCAGAAATTTCTGACAGAAATATCCGTCAGTAAATTCCAACAGGCACTTAGATTCAAAGCTTTGAAGCATCCAATTTTGTTGGCAATAATTTGTGCGGTCCTCCTTTACTTGTTCCAATAAGCAAACTTCTGGTGTTAAATGCATTAGAACAGAGGATGGCGGGCATGAAGTGAATTGGTTCTTTGTGAGTATGACACTTGGATTTGTTGTGGGATTTTGTGTTGTTGTTGCACCTTTGTTCATTTATAAATCATGGAGATATGTCTATTTCTGTTTCCTTGATGACATGTGGTACAAAATGCAATCCTATTGGTGATAGTTGGTTTTGTAATGTAACATTGCTATTAGTATTTTATATGTTGTTGGAAGTAAAATTGTAAAAGAATTTCAACTTTGTGAGCAACTTCTTCTTATTTTAGACTTCATCTATATAGTATGTTGATGAAACATCTTAATTGAAGTGGCTACATTTCTTATGAGGATAGAACTTTGTAATATCTTACAATTGAAATGGTTCTAGATTAGCGTTAGAATTGAATTTGGAATTAGCTTTCAGATACATCAAGACATGCTTATCTCAAATTTCGTGGTGATATAAAAGACTACAAATTTCTTTCATGATGCCAAGGTTAAAGCTCTTTGTAAACTCGTCATTTTAAGTTTAGCCTTTTTTAACTTCGTCTCTATTTTTTTTATTTAATTTATTTTGAGATTTTTAATGAAAAGGAGAATAGAAAAAGAGGTCCCCAAGTTTGTCTTGGAAGAAAAGATTTTTTATACCAACATTTGTTGATTTGATGGGTGTTGTGGATGGTCTTCAAACCTCAAAAGCATGAGTACAAAATTTGGATTTGATAAAACAAGAGCAGTCAAAGTCTCGAAGGAGACTAAACCAAGAAAAAAAATTGTGGTGGTTGTTTTCGATGCAAGTTTGATAAAGTTGAGCAAACTCGAATTTCTATGGGCATGCAGGATGCGTGAAGGAATGAGGATTTTTAGGGTCACTACAAAAAAAATGTGTGATTTGTGGCAGTTATTAACCGAATCGTCGGTGGAAGAAAACTGTTTGTGGCGTCAATCACTTTGTGGCGGTTGTATAACCGTCACAAAATGAATTTTAATATTACTTGTTTTACAATTTATTACGGTTTAAAACCGCCATAAAATTTATCTAAATTTTTCTTTATTTAACATTTCTAGCGGTTTGAAACCGCCACAAAATTGCATTTTTTTTTTTTTTAACTTTTCTCACATTGGT